TGTCGTTTTTAATGCAACGACGGCAGGAAAGGCTGCTAGAGAAGGAAATATGAAACAGCTTCACGATACAACGAAGAAACTAGCAGGGAAATACAGTAAACCAGAGAGGCCGGTCAAAGACAAAGAAGGCAAGCCAATCACCGAAATTCAACAACAGCGTAACAGATGGGTAGAATACTTCGAGGAACTCCTGAATAGGCCGGCTCCAATGAATCCACCGGACATCGAAGCAGCACACATAGATCTTCCTATAGATGTCAACCCACCAACGACGGAAGAAATTAGAATGGCCGTCAGACAAATCAAGAACGGGAAAGCAGCAGGACCCGACAACATACCAGCTGAAGCACTGAAATCAGACATCGAAGCAACCACAAGCATGCTTTACCTTCTATTCAAAAAGATTTGGGAGGAGGAACAAGTGCCGATGGACTGGAAAGAAGGACACCTCGTCAAGATTCCAAAGAAAGGAGATCTGAGCAAATGTGAAAACTACAGAGGCATTACACTACTGTCAATACCAGGGAAAGTCTTCAACAGAGTGTTGCTGAACCGGATGAAGGATGCAGTAGACGCCCAACTTCGAGATCAACAAGCTGGATTCCGTAAGGATCGGTCGTGCACAGACCAAATTGCAACACTACGGATCATCGTCGAACAATCAGTTGAGTGGAACTCATCACTATACATCAACTTCATTGATTATGAAAAGGCATTCGACAGTGTAGATAGGAGGACATTATGGAAACTTCTTCGACACTACGGAGTTCCTGAGAAGATTGTCAACATTATCCGGAACTCATACGACGGACTACAGTGCAAAGTAGTGCATGGAGGACAGCTGACAGATGCATTCCAAGTAAGGACTGGAGTCAGACAAGGCTGTTTACTCTCTCCCTTCCTCTTTCTTCTGGTGGTCGACTGGATTATGAAGACCTCGACATCTGAAGGAAAACACGGAATACAATGGACAGCTCAGAATCAATTAGACGATTTGGACTTCGCAGACGACCTAGCCCTCCTATCACGTACACACGAACAGATGCAGATGAAGACAGCCAGTGTAGCAGCAGTCTCTGCATCAGTAGGCCTCAGCATACACAAAGGGAAAACCAAGGTCCTCAAATTCAAAGCGGAGAACAGCAATCCAATCACTCTTGATGGCGAAACTCTGGAAGATGTAGAGTCCTTCACATACCTAGGAAGCATCATCGATGAACAAGGAGGTTCAGATGCAGACGTAAAGGCGAGGATCGGCAAAGCAAGGGTCGCATTCCTACAATTGAAGAACATATGGAACTCAAAACAACTTTCAACCAATATCAAAGTGAGAATCTTCAATACGAACGTCAAGGCAGTTCTACTGTATGGAGCTGAAACTTGGAGAACTACAACAACCACAATCAAGAAAGTACAAGTATTTATAAATAGCTGTCTACGCAAGATACTCAACATCCATTGGCCGGATACCATCAGCAATAGCCTTCTGTGGGAGAGAACAAACCAACTTCCAGCTGAAGAAGAAATTAGGAAAAGACGATGGAAATGGATAGGACATACATTACGCAAATCGTCAAACTGCATCACGAGGCAAGCCCTAACTTGGAATCCTGAAGGGAAGCGAAAAAGAGGAAGGCCAAAGAACACATTGCGTCGGATAATAGAAGCAGATATGAAAAGGATGAATTACAACTGGACGGAGCTCGAAAGGATTGCCCAGGACAGGGTTGGATGGAGAATGCTGGTGAGTGGCCTATGCTCCTTCACGAGGAGTAACAGGCGTAAGTAAGTAAGCAAGTCGTTTTTAATACGATATAATAATGCTACGCATATGTTATATTTGTTCCATTAAGATAATTTTAAAAGTATTCTAAAACCTACTTACATGTTTTCTATAGAGCGGCCTTCTAGTTGACCTATCTATCTGTATTGGGGTTTTTAGTATTGAGTTTTTTCCAATATTACTATTATTGAACTAAAATGTTTATTAAATTGATCATTGTGTTGTCTTATTAATTAAGTGCTTAATCCATATCGTACAAATGTCTGTTATTGACTTATAAACTAAATATTCGTCGAATGCATAGTTGACAGAGAATAAAAAGTCAGAGAAACCAATGGTTTAGATTTATGATTAATCCAAATCTCTAGCTACATTTATTGCTTTAAGGTCTGTTTACCTAAATAATAATTATTCTAAGTTTATTGATTATTTGATCGTTAATTCGAAGATTGTTTATAAAACAACTGACACGCTTATCAACTAATACAATGAATGGTTTAAAAATATCTACATAGAAGTGTGAATCGAAATGTTTAAAAGGCACTTTTATTCCTTCAAGTATCATTGTTTACGTCACTCAAAACAATTGAATAATGATGGTAAGTAAAAGAAAGTTTCTGTGACTGGCCGAAATTAGGAGGAGAACCACCAATAACCAGAGAGTATTTAATGATTGTTTCATGTTGTTTCAAGACCGTATAGCGGCACACAGTTATGACTTCATATGAAACCGAATTGGACACATTTGGTTTCGTTTCGAACAATACTGGGTTGAAGCCCAACAATTCACGTCTTCAACTTCAATCCTTACATAAATCAGTGAAATGTTTGTAATTTAATCTGATTGGATGTCGATTGCTAGTCCAAAAGTGTATTTGCTTATGCATATATCTTACGTCAAGTAAACTTATTATTTTATAGTTTTCGTTCTTTAAATCGAGCACATCACGAAATGGATGTAAACACATAAGAGTAAATAACAACACTATTAGAAATTTTCAAATTTAAAGTGTTTTGAGAAAGTCAGTTCACTATGTCTTACCAAGTTGTTCTTTTTTTGTCGATAAGCACGATGCATTTTGGCATTTTAATAGTATCTTTTCCTATTGTTGATTGATATTTATTTTCTAAAAGTTATATATGTATGCTTACTTACGCCCGTTACTCCTCATGAAGGAGAATAAGCTGCCCACCAGGATTCCCCATCGAACTCTATCCTGAGAAATCTTTTCCAGTTGTTGCTCATTCTTCTGATGTCTGCTTTCGATTGCCGACGCAATGTATCCCTTGGTCTTCCTATCTTCCGTTTTCCCTCGTGAATCCAAGTTATCACTTGCCTCGTGATGCAATCTGATGATTTCCACAATCTGTGTCCCATGCACCTGCAACGTCTTTTCCCGATGTCCTCTTCATATGGAAACTGGTTTGTTCTCGTTCACATAGTAGGCAATTGATGACGGTATTCTGTCAAGGGACATCGAGTGTTTTGCATAAACAATTGTTTACAAATACTTATAGTTTTTTGAAGATGTTTGTAGTATTTGTCGTCCTCGTTTCAGCTGCTCACATTATAATTGTCTTGACGTTGGTATTGAGGGTTGTGACTTTGATATTTTTGACTGTTGTTTTGAGTTGCATATGTTGTTCAAGTGTAGGAATGGTGTCAATACTTTGCCAATCGTTGCCTTTAAATTTCCATCAGATCCTTCTTGTTTATGGATGATGCTGTGGAAGTAGGTGAAACTTTGCAGTTGTTCCAGAGTGTTTCCATCACTTTTGTTTGTGTTGGTGGTTTTTGTGATGTATTTGAGGATGTTACACTTTCTCTTGTATATGTTGACGTCTACTGCTGAAGTGACTATTCGACACTTAGGCAAATGATAGACAATTCAATACAATGTGCATGATTATTTGAATGCTTCATCATATACCTTTAATTCTTTAACACACTTATAAAGAAGATAAAGGATCAATACATAGTTATTTGAAATATCTAACAAATATAAATCACTTAGTATCAACAGCGATTTTAACCGTGTTCAAACTGTTTATAATAACCATAAATACCTTTCACTCGATCATTTAATCATTGATCATCTAATATCAAACTATTCATATCATACTGAATTCACTTTGTATTATATATATTATCGTTAAATCTTGTTAAATTATGAATTCAATACTGATTCTGAGAATCATTTTGTTACAAATCATATTACTATAGATTTATGAAACTTTTCATTAGCTATTTATTCAACTTTTTAGTAAGAACTATATACACGTATATATTTATTAAATAATATATATACGATATATAACTGGAGATATATATTGATATACATAAAATTGGAAGTGATTTATTTTGTTTCAAGTTCTCTTATAAAATAAATCACAGATTATGTAGTGAAGTTTAATTTTACGTTGATAAGGTTAATTATAAAGTCAATATGATTTATCATTTCTAACAACCTGTTTAAAATATTTTTTATTATGTTTTATTCTACAATGTAGTTATAATACAGTGTTACTTAAATCTATCATCATCTTCCTAAATTTTCAAAATAACTTGATAAAATTAAGTTTGTTTATATGATGAACTAGTTTAAATCAAAGAGAATCATTAAAAATTGTATTGTATTAGACAATTGTTTAATTTTTTTAGTCTGATAATTTCTACGAACTAATTCTTTCTTCCTGTACTAAATCCTTATTGAAATTTTTCTCCTATATATTACCACCTTTGACCTAACCACTCCTATGAATCCGGTGTCCATCTTGTTGTGTTAATGTGGTATGGCAACTTGGACCGATGCATATATGTGCCTGGTCCTATGTTGTAGCTGACTGACTGACTAAATCTATATGCATCAATCTATAACGATACCTTTGTTCATCGATCTCTATTACATACATTTTATCCACCAGTTGAAATGAACCTTTCTTTATTTAAACTGTTGTCTGATTGATATTTCATATTGTTTATTCTAAAATTAACCGAGTTTTGTTTAAATGAAGACGGAAAAAAATTATATGAGAGTAACTAGATTATTTGTTATTTTAATTTAGTTTATATTTCATAGAAAATTATTTGGATATTTTTGCAAATAAAACAGTTAGTAGTTCACAATATTTATACTAACATTTAAACTGTTTGTGTTTTAATGTTAAAATAAAATTGTCATATATGTGTAGATTTTTTATTTTCATTTTGTAGACTATGCTCACTGCTTTAAGTATGTCTGCAATTGCAACAAATGGGAAAGTTCCCGCCGGTGGATCGTATTTCATGATATCACGTTCGATTGGCCCTGCTTTTGGTGGAGCAGTTGGAATACTTTTTTATCTTGGTACTACAATAGCGTCTGCTATGTATCTAGTAGGAGCTGTGGAAGTGTTTCTTGTAAGTATTATTTAATACTTTATGTTTGTAACCTGGTGTTAGTGTTCTCAGTTCAGTTTTTAATATAATAATGTTGCATTTAGAAGTCGTTGATTCTTATCTATTAATAAAAATCATTTTTATTATGGTTGAAGTGTAAACAAGGCTACTGAAGTCATTCCATTATATCACGTAATCTCTGTTATTAACGTAATGGATGAAGCAATGTTTGTATTCACTGCTCTCATCGTTTTAGCTACCCATAAAAGTGCTTTTTCCATGAGTGTAAGGTTTGTATTGTTCCATACCAAGACTGTTGTGTTAATAAAAGTTGTTAAAGGTGCGAATACTTCGTAATTTGCTTTGTACTTTTTGTATTTCATAACAATACATCAGTTGTTATTCTTCACGAAACTCATTAACATGTTTGACCAACAACAAATGTATTACAATTGGTTTGTAAAATATATAGTGGTTTTAATTACAAAGTGATTGACTTCTCAGTTTTATGTTGTGTATTAAACTTATTGTTTTTCGTTGGGCTCATACTCTCCTTCTCTTCCTACAATTAATTTGTTAAGAAATAGTTTGATTTCTTGGGATGCAAATAAAACAACTGAAGATCTCTATATTTTCTCAAGTTTCTTCTAGTTTACCAAAATGCACCATCAGAATATAATAAATATCGAAATTGTATCATTTGTATAAATAGCTATTTTCATGAATCTATAGAAGGATAGTCTGTTTTGGAGTAACTAGACATACTGAAGACGTTTCAGTGAAGAACATGTTTTTTTGGTAATATTATTTACGTGAGCTGTACAATCATATTTATAGTTATCTTACATATGGTAGTCTATAATACAATGAATTGCTTTGCGTCATTTGAAAAAGCAGTTAACAATTGTCAAAGGGTTTTCAAGTAATAAAAATAGTAGTCTACAATAAAACAAGGTCTTGCATTATTACATAAAATAGTCATTAGTTTTCTAGTATTTACTATAAGTTATGCTATATTCTTAAATAATGAGGAATTTTTATTTATAAAAGAGATATAAATGATTTTCTACTTTGCGAAAGCGAAGGATAAGAAAGTAATTGACACTAACGATTTGTAAAATAAAAAAGGGATCTTTAGATCGATTTCGAATCGATGAATAACTTTAGCCTTAAACGTACATGGATTTTTGTTCTGAAACGTCTTTGAGAGAGTTCTTTTGATTTTTCAGCCAACCCTGTTCAATGATTTACCTAGAAGTGCGTTGACTGTGTTTTCAAGGATTGAGGCGTTGACTCACATTCCAAGCTTAAGTAGCGTTGGGGACTAGTATTTTGATATGTGTTGAGTCATTACGTGGCCATTATAATCTATTTTATAAACACAGGTGAACTGATAAATGCACATTGAGGTGGCTCACAGTGTCAATATGTCTTCGACACTGTCGGAGTTTGATACCAACTGAAAAACACATTCGGAGCCTCGCCGCATAAAAGTTCTCTCTTATATTTTTTTGGAGTATGATCCCAAAATATTGCCGCTATGTTCTTGTGGTGGCTGGTACTATGTCAAGCCAATGTAGGTTGTTCTAGCTTCTGGAAAGACCAACTTTTTCATTTTTCTCAAGCCACACTTTGACGTTGTCATTCATTTGCTTATTGATCCTGACTTTTTTCATATGATCGTATGTGTGTTAATTACTCACCCTACTTATTATATGTTTGCAACATATTTTTATTTGAATGACGCATGATCGAAATAGAATTATCTAACTCGCCTTTTCAATTGCGCTTAACTTCGTTTTGTTTTGCTACACTATCTTCAATTCTTTTCTATGATTGTCTGTCCGGATCAATGAGTGTATTTGATGTACTCTGTTATTCCACTAATGCGATTTCAGTCGATAAAAATATACAAGGATTGGTGGTATGTATGTTTCGATAACAATCAGCATACAATTTAACTGAACTCAGATATAAGGCCACAAAATACTCTTTAAATTCATTGTATATGAATGCAATTCTCTTCAGAACTTTGAGGATACTTTTGACTCAATATTTTGGTTTCAAGTCACCGTCAAGAAACCTGTGAGTTGTGAACTATTTTCCGCTTGTACTCTCCAGATTGTGTTCAATTCGTCATCGATAATGTTGTCTGTCCACATTCGTCTAGTTAAAGGGAATGCAGAATGGGTTAGATCCTTCTCCTCTTGATAGTATTTGGTTACTTTGTCAGATGGTGCGACACGCTCCCATCTCACTGTAGACTACTATATGCAAAATAAACTATAAACACGATTGTACAGCTCAGGTAAATGACATTAGTGAAAAGAATTTCTATCAACCTCCTTTGTTTTGTTTAATAATCTGTTTGATTAATACAGTTTTGTAACTATATTTGTTAGCGCTGTGATACTTATTCATTATTCCTAGTCTACTAAGTCGCTGTTTTGCCTCCTAATTAATGTTTATATTTTTATTAGTTTGGTTTTTGTGAAGATAACAAACGTACAGTAGATTTTAAGCATGTCAAGGTGTAGACCTTAACATATCTATCTAGTTTTTTGAAGAATATATATATTTTTATATCTTTTAGAAATATATATTTCCTCAGGCATCGTTATTTGGAGACATTACATCAGATGCTGCGCTATTTAACAATACACGTGTTTATGGTACAATACTTTTGTTTACTGTTATGTGTTGTGTGTTCATGGGCATTCGTTTTGTTAGCCGGTTTGCTGCTGTCAGTTTGGCTGCTGTTTTGATATCAATTTTATGCGTGTATTTAGGAGTTTTTACAGTGAATCCATCCAGAAGTCCGTAGTAAGTTTAGTTTTTCTTAAATATATACCACTTCAAGTACGTATTTATGATCTTTGAAGTATTTTTATGCAGACATTTACCTCTAAATATAATTTCTATTTGATTGTATTAGTTAGGATTGATTTAATTTTCAACTGATATACATTCTTGCTCAAATAACACCTTTTTGACCTATTGATCTGACTCCAGTTTGATCGTCTAGTGGTGCTAACGAAATATACGTGCCGCCAATCCATGAATATAAGTATCGACTTAATTCACTTTAGTGAATAATGAAATAGAATAATTCGAGTACGATAATAAACTTTTGATACGTCTATTTCATACACTGGTTCATCCAGATAGACCGTTGTAGAAATGAAGGGGAGCAGGCCGGAGAACAAAGCGCGCCAACTCGATTTGATCAAGCGTGACTCAATAATTATAGCCAAACGAAAATAAGCCAAAGAGATTTGATGAAATAGGGTAAGTGATACACGCATACGTTCACATAAAAAACAGTCAAGGTCATAAGGGGATGATTGACAAGGTCGAAATGTAATTCAAGATTAAAAAATAGTTGTGTATATCCTGAAGCTGGAATAATCGATGTAGACTGACATTGTACTAAACACTACGATATGTTTCTATTCACAAATGACACCTTCACTCTCAACGTTTTCGATTATAGATCCCCTAAAATATCTATATTTCTCGTAGATTCAGTCGATGAGTAGTGCGTAACTAAGATGAAAATTTTACGAAGAAAAAAGTGAGCCATTGGATAATAATAGTTCATTGATTTGATGGTTACATACTCGATACTAGTCTTGAAAACACCGTTTTCGATCGTATTCAGCGTCATGTGTATATAATTTTGATGCTTTCCAAGGTGCGATCAAGTAACTGTACAATGCTCCTACTTTTTATAGGTACTTTTACGTACTAGCTAACACCTGCTACTCCTCGTGAAGGAGAATAAGCTGCCCACCAGGATTCCCCATCGAACTCTATCCTGAGAAATCTTTTCCAGTTGTTGCTCATTCTTCTGATGTCTGCTTTCGATTGCCGACGCAATGTATCCCTTGGTCTTCCTATCTTCCGTTTTCCCTCGTGAATCCAAGTTATCACTTGCCTCGTGATGCAATCTGATGATTTCCACAATCTGTGTCCCATGCACCTGCAACGTCTTTTCCCGATGTCCTCTTCATATGGAAACTGGTTTGTTCTCGTTCACATAGTAGGCAATTGATGACGGTATTCTGTCAAGGGACATCGAGTGTTTTGCATAAACAATTGTTTACAAATACTTATAGTTTTTTGAAGATGTTTGTAGTATTTGTCGTCCTCGTTTCAGCTGCTCACATTATAATTGTCTTGACGTTGGTATTGAGGATTGTGACTTTGATATTTTTGACTGTTGTTTTGAGTTGCATATGTTGTTCAAGTGTAGGAATGGTGTCAATACTTTGCCAATCGTTGCCTTTAAATTTCCATCAGATCCTTCTTGTTTATGGATGATGCTGTGGAAGTAGGTGAAACTTTGCAGTTGTTCCAGAGTGTTTCCATCACTTTTGTTTGTGTTGGTGGTTTTTGTGATGTATTTGAGGATGTTACACTTTCTCTTGTATATGTTGACACCTACTACTGTAGGTGCTTCTGCTACACCGGTTTTCTTGACCTGTATTTGTTGGTAAGTATGGAATTAAAGGGTCAAGTCATCTCTAAATTTCATCAAATTTGTCCATTGCATTCCATGCTTTCCCTCAGATGTTGAGGTAACTACCAGAAGAAAAAGAAAGAAAGACAATTAGCAACCTTGTATGACTCTGGTCTTCACTTGGAATGGGTTTGTCAGCAATCCTCCATGCACGTGTTTGCAGTGTGATCCATTGTATGACAATCTTCTCAGCTACTATTTCTGTAGTGTCGAAGAGTTTCCATATGCTTTCTTTATCCACACTGTTAAATTCTTTCTCATAGTCAAGTACGTTGGTGTATAGTGACGAGTTCTATTACATTGATTGTTCAATTATCACCCGTTTTGCTACAATTTAGTTTGTGCAGGACCTATAGTTCTGGAATCTAGCCTGTTGATTTCGAGGCTGAGCGTCTACAGAATATTTCATCCGGTCCAGCGACACTGCTGAAAACATTTCCTAGTACCGATAATAGTGTGATGCCTCTGTAGTTCTCACATTTGCTCAGATCTCCTTTTTTTAGTCATTTGATTAGATATTCTTTCCAGTCTGTTGGCACTTGTTCCTTGTCGTTGACTGGTTGCTTTGCCTTACTATATTTCCATGCTAGTTTCTTCGTTGTGTCATATAGATGTTTGATATATCCTTCTGCTGCAGCTTTTCCTGCTGTCATTGCTAAGTCTTCTACGTGTTTCTGCTTGTCTGCTCTAATGCTTCTCTTCACTTGATTGTTTGCTTCTGTGTATTCAGCCTGTGCCTTAACTTTCTCTGCTCTTGTTCAACTGCTGTTAATCGCTGTCTTCTTGCTCTTCCTTTGTTCAATCTTATCTAGGGTTTCGATAGAAGCTCATTACTTATGATGATGCTTCTTGCGTCCCACAACCTCCTGACATGTTAAAGATAGTGCTTTTTTTTGTCTCTTTACAATTGTCTTCATAATAGTTTCTTTTCTTTTGAGTAGATCATGTAAGGCTTATGATTTGTTGTCGGGAGGTGTCTTGAATTCGTTGAGTTTGTCAGTATGTCGAAGGGAGACTGTATTGATCATTCGTAATGCTGTCTCCCTATTTTCCGATTGCTTCTTTGTCTTCAGTTTCATCTTGACAACCACCAGGTAGTTATCTGAAGTTATGTCAGTTCCTCCTCTGGTTCTCACGTCTTCAAATGACCTTCTGAATTTTTTAGTGATGCAAATATGACAGATCTGGTTCTGTGTGGTGTGAACCAGTGAGACCCACGTAGTTTTGCGTATGCGTTTGTTGGGTTGAATGCACGTAAATCTGCGGATCTGTCAGCATTCTCATTTCTTCCTCTCAATCAGTCCATGTTGTCCTATGATATCTTCATATCTTGTGTTGTCCATTCCGACTTTGGCATCTAGATCTCATACAAGGATGGTCAGGTCTTTTCTTGGACACTTCGCTACGATCGATTGCAGTTTCTCATAAAACGGATCTTTATTATAGTCGTTGCTATGATTGGTGGGTGCATAATATTGGATAACATTCATTTTGATCCATTTCCTCTTTGTTTTGAGAAATACTGTGATTATCTTGGATCCATGAGATTACCATCGGCTATGTTTGGTTAGAATCAGCGCAACTCTCTGAATGTGCGGAGCATTCTCTTCTTCATGACCAGAGTACAATAGCATCTCTTTTGAATCTAATCTTTTCTATCCAGCTTGGGTCTAATGCGTTTCACTGATTTTGTGCACTATCACGTTGTATGTCCTCATTTCTGCACATTTTCGACTGGTCCTCCCAGTCTCCCACAGTGTCCAAACATTTTATGTACCTATGTTAATGTAGGATCTAGTCGTTAAAAGAAGTATCAGCCATGTGACTTCGAAGAATTTCAGGTTTCACCATGAGTCGTCTTGATTCTTCTGAATAAAGATCTTTCAACTAGGAGGGCAAAGTTTCAATGGTTTAATTTGTTTATCTGGTTAACGTTTTTTTCATCAAGGTTTTCTATGGAATGGGGTTAGTGGCCCCATGCCCAATCTTTCACCTTCAACTAGGTTTGGGAACGACAATAACCCTAAAAGTGCTTCAGTAAACGTTTCTTTATGGTTTGATAACAAATAATATAATATTTGTTATTATATTTTATAGTCATATGGCTTGTATTAGTTACAAGAGACAAAGGAACGAAATATGGATGTCAAGTATAGAATGAACTTTTAACAGATAGATAATTTATTACCATCAAATGAACGAGTTCTGTCCATCTCATAATAAATTTAATTTATTAGGTTACAATCAGATGTAGTTCAGTGGAAAAAACGTTCTTCTTGATGATATCCTTCACCCTTGCTTTATGTTCATAATCATCATAGTAGTTTAACAAATAAAGTAGTCTGTTGGAAAATAGAGGTGTCATATGATTAAGTGTTTGAAAATTTCATACATCATAAAGGGGTTGTATAACTATCGAATTTTTAAAATGTATTCAAATTTGTAGAAGATAATTGTTTACTTCCCTATTCTTACGCAATCCTTCTTCGACATGAAATTTCTAAACATTTTCTATTTTGTTTCTTAAATCACAGTGCATACAATGAAATAGTAGTAAAAATTTTCTCCTAGTGAACCCGTATTCGAATCCCTCTTCAACTGAATACAACAGGCTTCTTTCGTTATTTAAAAAGTTCAGATTTACTAATCTTTCAAAATTAAAAGCTAATTTCAAACATACAATCCAGTATTTTTTTTTCCTTCTAATAATTAAACTCTGTTACAGATAATTTTAAGTATGATGTTACAAATTTTTTTCCGGTCATTAAACTTTTGTTGTTAAATATAAATTTACGGTGGGAAGGGGAAAAGAAAATCTAGTTTATACTGATTGATTGACGTATCTACTTTGATTTTTCTAAATATCAGATTAATTTTTTATCACTGTCATTTTCATCACAACAACTAATTCGAGGTTTTTCTTTCGCTTTCTTTCTTCTTCTTCAACAGAACTGTTTTTTTTTTGAAAAAAAATTTAAATTTACGTCATTTTGTTAATAAATACTCATAATATTTACTTAATAAAACAATTTTTAACAAAATATTTGATCAATTTATTTATTACTGAAATTTCATCATTCAATCTCATGTTAAAAGAATAGGCGTGTATCCAATAAACATTTCATAGTTGAATGGGAAAGGGTAATTGGGTGGGAAAAAAAATGTAATGCTTCAAGCATCATTCAATGTTAACTTGAAGTGCTTCTTTTTATATTTTTAAAGTTTAAGCTGATTGATATACTCATTTCAATGGTATTTATATTATTTTGTATTAGAAATTTTACAATCTATAATCTCCTTTTCTATTATTTTAAAATGAAAAATATCAATCAGTGAACTGTTGATAGTTTATCATAGATTTTATTATGTTATTGAATCAACATAATATTGTAGTGTCAGTCATTATTTTAAGCCCATATATTTTATTCTAGCTTTCGGACATTCCATTCTATTCATTCTACTTGAGTCATATTTTGACCTTGTCAATTATTTGCTTGTCAGTCTTGACTGTTTTTATATGAGCGTATATGTGTGTGCCCTTCTTATCCTATTAATCACATGTCTGTAGCTCTATGTTGTCTGATTATAAATATTGAGTAACGCTTGACTAAAGTGGAGTTGGTTTCCCAGCCATCTTCCCTGCGTGTCATTTTGCTTGGCTCTGTTTCATTCGCCTCATATACGAAATATATGTATTCTCAAGTCAATTCTCGTTATTCGACTTATTTAATTCCGTTATTGACTAACGCGATTTAAGTCGACGATTATATACGAGAATAGGCGATAACAATCATTCGTACGATCTAAATAGGAGTCAGATCCACGGGCCACTAAAATATTTTCGTTCATGTTATTGATACTTGTAATGAAATAAATTAAATCATGTAGAAATTCCTATTTAGATATTCAAAAAAAAAGATGAACAAAGCCAAAAAAATTTCTTTTTATGTAGTTCTTTTTATTATTATGGCTTTCCTTGTTAATAATGCTTATTGTTAATTGTTGCATGACTGTAAAAGTCTCCACATGATTATATAACTGTTATTCAATATTCCAATTCCTATTAAAACTTTGTCAATTTTTTTATATCTTATAATGTAATTTATCAATTTGATATTTATTTATTCCAGTCAGTCAATTAAACACAACGTAAAATCTGGCATTTATTCCCATTCATATATGTATTAATTATTACCGTTGAATCTTAACTGATTTATTTACCCCATCTTGAATTTATTTTACTGATCATTCTTCAATATTTGCACAAACGCTTTTGAATTTGTGATACAACTATCCATTATACCACTACTTGATTGATATTGATTTTCTTAACATTTTACATGTCCAAATAACAGACTGACCTGACAACCATTGAAATTAGGAGGTATTGGACGAATGTTTTATTCTAGTCTCCTTTGCAGTGTGTATCAACGATTTTAAATCAGGTCAAACCCAGGGAACTCGATTCTTATTGCAAGCACCTAGGTTCTAAACTACTGAGTTAATGTTTAGTGGTTAACATTTTCAACGTTCATTAGTTGGCAATATTGTAAGACCACCACACATTACCTTCAGCGATATCATGAACGCACTCTCCTTAGTAGTTGCATACTAGAATGAAATAGTTGTCTGGTATTTCCTGGTTTCAAACAGTTTTCTAACTAGGATTTGTCCATGTCTTTATCTATAATATAAATCAGTGTGGAGTTATAATGAAAAAGTAACTGGAATGAAATAGTTTTTCGCTCTACTTGTGTGTTAAAAGTTATCTTAGAAGTTTCGCCTTTATTTATCAGAAAGTTAAATCATATACACTATTGCTTTGTATATCTACTGAATATTCAACTTATAAATTAGATAACTGATTTGACTATAATTCATCCTAAAAGGATTGTTAAATAAGAGATTGATGGTGCAAACCCAATAAAAGTATTTTTCTGATAATTTTTTAAATCCAAAAGGTCTTTTATATGTTTAACGACGATTATTGTTGGTCAAAATTATTCTTGTTTTTAAGGCATATTTCTCCTTTTGATATTGATTTAGTGTTTGTGCATTGGGTGGACGATTATTAAGTCAAGATTTTATCACTGTCAACGGTACTGCACAATGTCATAAAAATACCACAGGTCCTATTTATGAAGCATATTGTAATAATCGTGAAATAGCAACAGAGGAATCATGTGAATTTTTTAACGCTAACAATATCAGTTATTTTCCTGCTATGCCTGGTTTAACTTCAAAGAAATTTTTCGGTGAGTCTTTGTTTTTATGTCCACTTTTTTAGCAAAATTTTCCTTGGAACAAAGAAAAGTGTTGTTGAAGAACAGTAGTGGATTATTTTTCAGATAATCCCTCCATGGTAAGAAATCCAGCTCTTCACTAGGGTTTCGGCTTCAATTTCAGTTGAGGAGTCCTTCAATAGTTCCGCTACCAGCCATCGTGTGAATTTATCGATGCATGTAAAAATATAGTTGGGAGTAGTCCCACTATATCGATTTGTATGTGTTTGAATCTAGTGTTGGGATAAGGGAAAAAATCTACTGCGGAACTAGTACGACTATATGCTTTGACGTTTAGATACTTCATGGATGCTTTTATCCAACTACGAATACACGGACTCATGTTTAGTCTTACGAAACGTTCGCTGACTAGTTTGAACGTGGCTTTTATTCCAGGATGGAATATATTATGCATAATATATAATACCTTTCGTCGTAATGGCTTCAGGATAAACAGTCACAGTTGACCTATTGACATGTCACATAATCCTTTTACACCACCTAATTGGACTTCGAACGCCAGCAGGATTGTGTTGTCGGATTTGAGCCTGCTTAATTCAACATCCGCCTTTCGCAAAGCCACCATATTATGATGATTGTCTACAGCTTGAATGAAAGCGTTTATTGCTGTTTTAGATGGTGCATCCACTACTTCGTTTTTAATGTTTTTAATATATCTTATACCAGACGTAAATTGGGAAATAAGTTCTAATCGTTGAATTTCCCTCACAAAATAATTATCTTCTTTGACTCTCAATGTTTTCGTAAGAGGTTAATGATCCGTGCACACAGTGAAAATTGTATCTCCTACCAGTGTTGAAGGTGCTTTATTGACAAGTAAATTGCTAGCAATCCTCTTCCGAACGTATTATACTGCGTCCGAGTAGGATTCAATCTCTTTGATAAAAATGGAAGAGGTTCCCATGTGTTACTTATAACTACTGCCTTACGGCTCCTACTGTCACATTCTATGTATCCAATAATGATGGCTGATAGCATTTCACTCTTTTGTCTGAATAGCAGCAACGTATTTTCGTTTAGTGTTCGCTTGGCATTCTCTGATTCTTGTATAGCCTCGGCTGGCGGATGGGATGTCCGGGCATGTCCTCGCAAGGCGTCCGTCAGTGGTTGCAATATTTTTGCACAGTTCGGGACAAGTCGTCTATAATAATTTATTAGCCTCGAAAATCATCGCAATTTTTTTCATGATTTGGGTAACAAATAGTCACTGATAGCAGCAACTTCTTCCGGAACCTTGGGAAGTTATCATATGACTTAAGAATTGCAGAGATTTCTTTCCAAATTCAAACGTTTCAACGTTGATATAGATGCTATGTTCTTGAAGTCTCATGAATAGTTGTCTTAATTGCTTTAAATAATCTTTCGCCGTAGCGCTAGCTACTAGCAGGTCATTGACATACGCATATTTCCCTTCCCAAACTTCTGATAATCTGATCAATAAGTCACTGAAAATTTTGTGCTGCATCTATTAATAGAAAGGGAATGGGTAAAAACTCGTATCACCCGAATGGGTTCGTGTTGTAACGTGTGGATTGCGCGGTTTTGATAAGCAGCGTTTATATCGATCGATTACAGTGACACGTAAAACACGTAAGGACGACCTAGAGTCCCGATTGGTCCCGCTTCCCTGTCTAGCCCAGCCAGTTGAGTTCAGAACGCAAGTCACAGCCTCTGAGCTATGAATCGTTATATTTCAGACATACTCTATTTATATACTAACCAGACCACATCGTACCATAAAAATAGAAACGCAACATCTGTACAATATTTAACGAGTGAAATAAATAATGGCCAATAGGGAATGTCCATTTAACGTCCAAGTACATCATTAGACTTAACATGATAATGATTGGCACATTATTCCGCATCCATAACAGTTCGTCACTGCTGTTCTACGTATGCCTTCTTGCGGGACGAGAACGTGATGGTAAGCTCCGAAAACTCAATCTTTAAGAAAGTGGTATCTTTCATGTCATCAGTAAATTCGTGGATGATTGGTATCGGATATCTATCAGCTATTGTCTGTTTAGTAAGAGCTCGATAATCTCCACAAAGACTGATTTCATTTTTTCTCAGAATCATATGCAACGGCAACTCCAAGGGCTACTCGAGCGACTTATAATGCCGAGCTTCATAAATTTATCGAGTTCTTGTTTTGCTACTTTTAATTTTTGTAGGTCCAACCTTCGTGGCATTGTATTTGCTGGTGACCCTTTCGTCACTATATGATGCTGAACAGTATGCTTGAGCTCTGAGTTATAGTACATTATCTTCGCCAGCTCAGCAAACTCTGTTAAAAGGGATTTATGTGGACCACACTGGTTTTTAGATGCCACGAAATTCATAGAAACAGAACCGACAATTAATCCTCTTATTGTAAGGTTACGGTCACCGTTTATTAGTTGCTGTCATCTAGAGTCAACTAATACATCGAAGTTTTCTAGGTAATCAACACCTATAATAACGGATACATATGCTATAACAAGTTCCCATCAAAATGAAGTACCTCGAGTCAATTCCTGCTTCTTATACGCTTTAATTTTGTACTTAATTGTTGCTTTTAGCATTAGTTAAGTATTGATGTCTCATCTTTCGTCACTTACAAAGAGCATGACGCTAATTTCTGCTTCTGTATCTACTAAGAATTGTGCGCCCGTCGTTTGGTCCTGTATGTAAAACCAACGACTTTTTGTACGAGTTACACCAGCTAACACAGTCGTTACAGGCAGCCACCGGGATCGTTTCCTTGTTGTGTTTAGTCTGAAAGGTGGTTTATACTCCCTAGCTCTGTCGCCATACGTTTGATGATACCAACATAATGATGAAGGTAGATGTCTCCTGGAGAACGATTCGTTTCTGGTGCACGATAATCTTTTACATGTGATGAAAATAACAATAATAGTAAACGACAACGATAATTATAATCCACAGTCATAATCCGAATCCAGCCGAAGTATCCTGATTTTCTAATTTAGATCATACCGTAGAGTTACGTTTTGCTCGCAAGTTTGGTCTACCGTTTCTGTAATATATTATCTTCGAGATAATTCTTAAAGCTTCATATATCAATCAGCCTGATAACTGTTATTAAATAAGCCCCAATGGTATATGGATTTCAGAAGGCGACATGAAGCGCCGACTACAGTTGGTTATTGAATAGTACAGATCACTAAGCCATAAGCACATCAAACGAATTTGTACAGAAAACCTAATGCACCCGAGCGAGCGAGTATATATATATATATATATATATATATATATATATATATATATATATATATATATATATATATATATATATATATATATATATATATATATATGGGAAGGCGAATGGTTCATCGAGTGATTTAAGCAATATTAACATTTAAGCTAGAAAGAAGGATATGTGCGTAGGCGGTAACATGTGATTAAGCGTACGTTTTCATACAGACACAATAATAATAATAATAATAATAATAATAATAATAATAATAATAATAATAATAATATATACAAATCATTGCTTTTCGAATAATACTATCTGTTATACAAGGTAATTGATAGGCTTGACAAAATTAGACGTAAATAAACTTAAGTATAGGAGAGGTGCTATGGGACGAATCTATAGCTTGCATCATAACGACTGTGGGTTTTTCTTCAGTATTAAAATGAAATTTGATGGTATGACCATAATTTACAAAATAGTGGTAATTAAATTGTTCTCAAAGTATTTGTTCAATCATATAATACTACGGCATACTGCGAAACGAATTTTCTGTTTGCTACCACGTTTGAAATTGAATCTGAGATACTGATAGCCTAATTACTAGAGTTCACTTTTGTTAAAAAGGATTCACTACACAAGTTATTACGTTTTATATCTGTCTGGAAGCAATAATATCTGATTATATGTCAAAAAGTATTCAATAATGCTGGGTGTGTGTGAGAATGGTAAACTTAAACTACACCTGTTTTAGTGTCATTCCAAAGTTATGATCTGATATTGATAGCTAATAATCGATTACCGATGAAGTTCACAACTGTCGTTTGGGTCTTAATGGCATAATAAAAAAATACATGTGATTAGAGATAATATGTAGACGATTAGTTATCGAAAGAATTTAAGTTGCCTTAATCTGTTTTGTTCATCTAAAAGATAATCAGATTTTGTTCTGTTTTATTCCCGTTTTATTGAATATTAGAAAGTCAAGTTTGGCGGGTGCTAAAACGGTTACTATGAATGGATTAGTGAAAATTACTTGTTTATAATGTATAGTGATTAAGATAAACTGCTTTCTGGTAATTATGAATAGGATTCTGTATTTTGTTGACGTAATATGGAACTTATGAAAGTATTGTGTCGTGATCGCTTAATAAGCAAGACGGCTTTCTGAAATAACAAACCAAACTTTAAAATTATCCATCAGTAGCTACACTGTCACTATATCATCAGTTCAAGACCATAAACGACGGACATAAAGTTTACTTTTTCTTATATGGTCTATTTACTAACTCTTATGAAACAACTTTGTTCACCTTCGTAAACTCGTCTTTCAAAAGATTTTGCGATAAGCTTAATAGATAGATCAACTACCGTCTGATATACGCGATCACTAAACTACAGTTATTTTAGAGAGGGTTGTGTATTGTCTAGAATAGGTAATATCTGAATTATTATTTTACTTTTTATGATGAGAATTCATAATTCATTTTTACTTACTATTTTACCAAGACATACTAATATTATTTCTGCTCGTTAGTTAGGGGTGTCCGAATTCGTGTTCATGTTAGCAATGGGATTTGGATCCAGTACCTTTAGCTTCAATCGCCCATCACCTTATCCACCGATAAAAATTTACTCAAAAGTATCAACGACGGGATAGTTCAAACTTTTTCTAATAACGAGATGAGTATCATACTTATCGCAGCTATCTGGGTTCACTATATCAGTGAATAATTGTGGCGTTCGT